TTACTTGTTTTTTTCTTCTTCTTTCCTTTTTTCTTATTATTTTATTTCTAGGATATGCCGCCAGGGGCATACTTGTAATTTCAGACTCTTTTATGAAGTAAATATAAATAGAAAACTGGCGACTGCCAGTAGTGACTTTTTTCCTCTCAATCGCACCTCTCTCTCCCTCTCTCCCTCTCTCTCTCATTCTTTCTCTCTCCCAATCCCCACGAATCACCACAGTAAGAAATGGTTTAAGCGCTCATAATTTAACAATGGATATGACACGAAACAGAACAGAATAGCGAAACAGGATTCATGTAGCTAACCACATATAATTGGGATAAGGCTTAGATGAAGACAATGAGTCTTGAGATCCACCTATTCTGTTCCACCCTCAACTACTTTAGTCTATTGTGCGTACACCTAACTTTCTTCCCATGTTTTTATTTTTAGTTCTGTTTTTGGTAGTTTTTTATGTGTTCATTTTCACTGAGATATGTGAAGAGTCAACCTTATCATTATATATCTGCCTGTACTTGATCATGTAAGAGCAGCATTGTAGTTACCCATGTTTTCTTCTTTATTCACTTGATAACACTAGTTGAGTGAGGCATGGGCTCATCTTTCTCCTCTAAAGCTCTTCCCTCTCCCTTATGGTATCAGAACCTTATCTGGTCAAAAGACCTCAGCTTTCTGCCTTGTTCTCTTCCAACTGATTGAAGAATATGTGTCGACGCCACCATGTTATAGCAGTGATTTTAGTGTAAGATCAATAGTCCATGAGAAGAGGGAGGTTCCACCATGTGGTAGAAGGCCTTTTACAGGAGTTCACTAATATATATAACATTAACTACTTTTCTGTGAAACAGATTACATTTTATAAGAGCTTTTTGGTAAAAAATTCCATGTGTTTTCAAGGCTATAGTGTTTCAAGGGATGAACCATGAAGGGCAAGTATCATAACATTTTTCATAGTGTATTTTGGGGGGTATAGGAAGTCGTTTCACTGTAATAGGAGCAGATTTGAAGTTTGCACATTTTTTCTACGTATACATTTATCGCCTAGCATAGATACTGCTAGAATGCAGGATGAAACCGTGATAGCGGCAGTAGAGATGTTTACTGGTAACTATCGAATTTATATTTTCTGATGGTATCCCAGAAAGGTATGCTATAACTGGTTACCATTTTCGAAGTGTTGTAGTGATCCTGGTATCAACCCCAGACGTGGCACAAGTGTTTCTACAATTGGTTGGGGTGAGAGGTAGTTTTTGGCAGTATATTGATCATTAGTGGAGTTTGACACTGTAAGATTTTACATGGTTAACGAGCTAAATATCATCTAGAAGAAATAAGTGTTTAGTCCATACAAATGCACTTTTCTTTTTCATATTTTTCTTTGTTTTTTGTTTTTATTTATAGACTTAGGGCATATTAAATTTTACTGGCCAGACACAAATACTTGGAATTATTTTTACTTAAAATTGTATGAAAATGAAATAAATCCACATAATTTGATAAGTATGTGGTCTACAGCCAATCCATTTCCATATTTTTGCATGAAAGGGAACTAGTTATTCATATCTATTTTTCTGAAGGTTTTGATGTCTAAGATGGTTTAAGCAGTACTTCAGTAACTTTCTTGGCTTCTTTGCTACTTAATTGTACATGTTTTGTACGGTTGTTTGGTGAGTTATATGCATTTTTGTCTTTTATTGTTTTGTAAAAAAAATGAAATAATGTCTCTTCTGGTTCCATATCATTCCTTAGTTTCCAGTATTTCATAAGATTTCACGACATGTTCCACTCTTGAAAGGACTGAAGTTCAAGTTGAGATTAAAGCTTGGAAAACATACTACGGATCAGTGACTTTCTTCCTCATTCTTTTAAGTTCCCACCAGTTCTTTGGTGGTTTTCATTTTCCTCATAGAGTGCCTGGCTTCTCTATCCTTGCTTTTCCATAAGCATAAAATTTTGTATGCCCTGAAGTTACTACTCTTTGTTCTTTTACCTAGCAGTCAGTTTAGTAGCTTGTTTGCATCCTTGTCTTATTATCTGTTGGTTCGACCCTGATGCAGAAATTCTGTCTATCTTCCGCTTATTTTGGTTTATCTCAGGTGCATGTTCGTCTCTTGTGATTTCCAGAGAATTTATTTACCTGTTTCCACTTACTAGGCTTATTGGTCATTCCTGTGATCTTTAATCATATTAAATTTGTTAATATTTTTATATATTACTGGGAGCACATGGCATACTAGTGCATAAGTTTGTTGAAACTGAAACCATTTATCTTGATGTTTTCTTGCAGGTTTCAGGGAGGTTATTTTCTGATTCTGAGCCTAGACGAAGTACAAGACTTGCTGGAGAAGCGGCAAACACAAACTCAAATTCCTTACAAGTTGGAACTAATGGGTCTGGTCATTCTTCTACCAGATATTTTGGAGGGCTTTCTTCATCATCTAAGTTGATTTCAGCAGCTATTCGTTCAGGCACATTTTGTAAGGGACAGCCCAGTGCCAGTGAAAGTTTTGATGAAGGTGTTAAACTTGGCTATGATTTTCTCACCACGAGAAAGCTCTATTTTTTATTCTAGATTATATTAATTTATCAATTATGTGAATGTTTACATCCAACCAACACCTTTGCGCCACTTTGCTGGCCTACTTGCATCAATTATCAGTGCACAGTGCTAACACCCCTAACTTTATGTACATATTTAGCATTTTCTCATTTGAGGACCTTATAGGGTTGTGAACATTGTCCATGGTGGTACTAGCATTGCTTTTCTGAATTTGTTTTTGTTGATTATTATTTCATCGATGGGTGCTAATAAGTATTATCAAGCAGCCCTAAAGGATGCACGAAAAGAAATAAATGTGCAAATTTATTCTTCCAGTCATTCATGCATACTTCAATTACCTTACTTGAATAAATTAAACCAGCAAATAGTTGTTTTCTGATTTAAAAAGGTAGAAAAGAAGGAGAAAGAAAGGTCACGAATAGAAGGGGAAGGGAGAGAGGAAGAGAAGTAGGAAAGAAAGGGTTCGGCTGAATTATGTTTCTAGCCGCCCACTAAGATGTATTTATATTGTAATCTATCACAATGACTAATTACCATAATACCCTTACTTAAAACAAATGAAAGAAAGACAAACAAGGCCCAACCGACCTAATTATTCTAAATAAAAAATAAAATAAACAGCAGGTATAAAATGTGGGGTTGGAACCCCACAAACACTAACAACTTATCAACTCCCCCTCAAGTTGGGAGTAGATATTTGTCATACCCAACTTGCGTAAATTTGTCTCCAACCTGAATTTTGTGATTGCTTTAGTAAAGAGATCAGCTAGCTGCATGTCAGAGGTAACATAGGGAAGACACACTTCTTGAGATGCAACACGCTCTCGGATAAAATGTCTGTCCACCTCGATATGTTTAGTCCTATCATGCTGTATTGGGTTATGGGCAATGTTAATTGCTGCTTGATTATCACAATACAACATCAAAGGTTTATCATAGTCAATTCCAAGTTCATCCAGCAAAGATTTCAGCCATAACACTTCTACAACACCATTGGCCATGGACCTGTATTCAGCTTCAACATTGGAGCAAGCAACAACATTTTGTTTCTTGCTTCTCCAAGAAACAAGGTTCCCCCCTACAAATGCACAATACCCCGAGGTAGATCTTCTGTCATCAATTTATCCAGCCCAATCAGCATTTGTATACACTTCTATCTTCATGTGTCCATTGTTCTTGAAAAGTATGGCTCTCCCTGGGCATCTCTTCAAGTAAGCAAGTATCCTTTCCACCGCAAGAGGGTGAGTAGTCCTAGGAGAATGCATGTATTGATTGACATCACTGACAGCATATGAAATGTCTGGTTGTGTTAGGTAGAGATAAAGAAGTTTCCCAACCAACTTTTGATACATAGCCCTGTCCTCAAAGGTTCTCCACCTTCTGCACTTATTTATGGTTCAACTCAATGGGTGTGTCAGCAGGCTTTACTCCTAACTTTCCAGTTTCATCCAATAAGTCAAGGACATACTTTCTTTGAGAGATGAAGATGCCATGCTTAGATCGAGCCACCTCAATTCGTAGGAAATAATGCAGTTCTCCCAAGTCTTTTACTTCAAATTCTTTGTGAAGATTCTACTTAAGAGCATCTATCTCATTAATATCATTTTTAGTCACCACAATATCATCCACATAGACAGCAAGTATGGTAAAAGAAAAGTCTGTCTTCTTAAAGAAGAGAGTGTGATCTGATTGAGCCTACATGTAGCCGAACTTTTCTAATGCCAATCTAAACCTGTCAAACCAAGCTCTTGGAGACTGTTTCAGCCTATACAAAGCATTCTTGACGTCCATCTGAAAAAGTGGCCAAGAGAAGTTCACAACCTTAGATAGTAGGACTCTAATTGTGTTCATCTTTGCAACTGGTGCAAAGATCTCCATATAGTCTATGCCATAAATTTGTGTGAAGCCCTTTGCAACCAATCTGGCCTTGTATCTCTCTACAGAGCCATCAACATTATATTTTACTGTAAACACCCATTTGCATCCAACAAGTTTCTTCCTCTCAGACTGGTCAACTAGTTCTCAAGTATTGTTCTTAATAAGTGCATCCATCTCTATTTGCATTGCTTCCTTCCATTCAGGTATCAGAAGAGCCTCTTGCACTGTTCTGGGTATAGGAATGGTAGCAATAGATGCCATAAATGATCTGTAGGATTATGAGAGACGACCATAAGAGAGAAACTGGGAGATACAATGAGCAGTGGATGAAGTACAATGACGCTTCCCTTTACAAATTACAATTGGGAGATCAAGGTCATCCGAAGGAAGGGACTAAGGCTCAACAGTGTTAGGTGAAGTATCTGCAATAGTGGGCTCAACAATGGGTGTAATGCTTGGATCTGAAGCTGTAGGAGGTGTTGGGATCTGCCTGGACTGTTGTGAACGCGAACCAACCTGCCTCCACTGTCTGTGATACACTCTCAACTCCCTGCACTTTTGACAACCCTCTTCACGGCACTCCCCCTCAACAACTAGTATAGGTAATGGAACTTCTAGGGCTGAAATTCCTTCCTCACGACTCTCCCCCTGAGGAGAGGCCCTATGATAGTAGGGCATTTCCTCAAAAAAGGTGACATCCATGGACACATAACGCCTTCCCGAAACAGGATCATAACAGCAATACCCCTTTTGATTTTGTGCATACCCAAGGAAAATACATTTTTCAGCTTTGGGATCAAATTTGGAGCGATGAGGTCCCAGGTTTTGAACAAAGCAAGTACACCCAAAGGTTTTAAGGGGAATAGTGAACAAGTCCTTGTTTGGATACAAAAGGTTGAATGGTGTTTTCATGTCCAAAACCCGTGAGGGAATTCAGTTAATAAGGTAAATAGCAGTACGGATTACATCCCCCCAGAAGCGTATGGGAACATTAGAGTTGGGCATAATGCTTCTAGCTACTTCCAAAATATGTATATTTTTTCTCTCAGCAACCCCATTCTGCTGAGGTGTACGAGGACAAGTGCTCTGATGAATAACTCCATGGTCTAGAAGATTTGATGCCAGGGGTTTTGCAAAATACTCCTTGGCATTATCAGATCTGAGAATTTTGATCTTGATCTCAAATTGGGTCAATACCATCTGATGGAAAGCTTGGGTCAGTGATGGAAACTCATCTTGAGAGTGCATGAGGTATATCCACAAGAAACGGGTATAATCATCAACAAATAACAAGTATCTGTACCCCCCCATGGTAGGAGTATGATATGGCCCCCAAACATCAATATGCATAATTTCAAATGGAATATTGTTTCTTTTATTGCTCAAAGAATAAGTTGACCTACAATGTTTTGCAAGTTCGCAGCTTTCACACTTCAAACTAGACATTTGGACTGACTCAAACAAACTTGGAAACAGACTCTTCAAAGACCCAAAGGACAAATGACCTAATTTGTTATGCCAAAGCATAACCTGACCCAAAGACTGAGAAACAAACAATCTCCCAACTTCACTTTCCTTCCCCTGTGGATGCTCAAGCAGGTAGACTCCATTCGTCTCACGGCCAATCCCAATCACCTTCCTCGTTTCCAGATTTTGAAAGACACAACGATTGGGAAAAAAAGTCATTGAACAGTTTTGATTCTTAGTAATACTACTAACTGAAAGCAAGTTAGCACTAAGCTTAGGGACATGCAAATTTGAGGACAAGGAGTTGGCATCCGAAAACCTGATGTCTCCCTTGCCAGAAATAGGAACAAGAGAGCCATCAACAATAGACACTTTGTCTTTGCCTGAGGATAAACAGTAGGTGGTAAACAAGGTGGATAAACTAGTCATATGGTCAGAAGCACCTGAATCTATTACCCAGAAGGGTCTAGTATTACCTGGGGCTGAAGTGTGATATGCTTGGGCTTCTTGCAATGATCACAAAACATCTCCCTTTTATCTTCCTTCTTTATTTCCTTTTCTTGATCTTTCCCAAATTTCTGTTTTGTTGCTGCTAGGGCTGATTCCATGGGTTGAACTTGTAACATCACTTTTCTTCTACTCTCTTCACTGTGCACTAGTGAATAAGCCTGAGACAAGGTCACACTATCCCTAGTAAGAAGTTGCTGTCTTACTATGT